GATTCATCAAACAGTGCGATGAAAGTAGAGCTTCAAATTATGTAATATGATTAACTTTGTGTCGGCATGTTGTCTCGTGTGTAGCAATTTAAAATCGAATTCATTTCAGCTTCCAAGAAATTCTCGAATATTACATAGCCGCTTATGACAGTTACACACGCAGACGTTTATACTCTCCCAAAAAGAATAAAATGATAGTATAACCCGTGGTACTGAAATAAAACATAATTGCGGCGTATAAATATTAAATAGTATGTCCTAATGTGTAACATTCATTTTTTGGAAAAATCCTGTTTGGCTGCTACTTCAAATTTGTGGAATATTAACAAATCGCAATATTTCTTTTTCTGAACAATTTTGCACATACTGGTTGACCATTCTTTTCAAAAATTTAAGATTCAACATACTGCATTCATTTGTTCTATGAGCAATAGCAACCGTTTTCGGTAGCCCAGTCGAGTAACTGAATGCGCAAGAATCGATGGAATGATCTACACATGTGTTGTTCGAATTTGTTGTATCATGTTTTCCTTGTTCCTTATTTCGAAATAAATACAATTTTCCTGAAAATTTCATCAAAATTGATTAAAAGTACAGTTGGTGTTCAGGTACTTATGGCGGGCAGTATATAATCAACAAAAATGCATCAAATGCACGTCTTGTGCATTGAAATAATGCTCTTGATCTTTTTATGGTAACTCCTTGCCTTGATGCTTATCAGCTTTGTATGTTCCTCCCATCATATGTCGTTTGTTTTTTTATTACACCCTTGTGTCACATATATGATAAGTGTAAGCGTAAGCTAATTTATGTGAGTAATTTTACGAACAGTTATGAAAGGATTTGAAAATAAAAAATACATTAGTTTAGCAGGTCTTGATTTTACCAGACCATTTGACTGCGTATCACATAAAATCTTAATCGATAAACTACGATATTATGGCTTTGGAAACAAAAGTGCACAGTTAATCCACGCTTATTTATCAAATAGACAACAGTATGTAATTTACGATAATGGTGTTTCAAAATTGTCACAATTAAAGCATGGTGCGCCACAGGGATCTGTTTTGGGGCCCATCCTGTTCCTTATATATATATTAATGATCTTCCCCATTGTGACCTATACACCGACCACATTATGTTTGCTGATGACACTTCTCTAATTAAACAATTTGATAGTGAAGAAGAAATCAATGAGTGCATGAAGTTAGCTATAGGAAGAGTTGATAAATGGATAAAATCAAACAGATTATCTTTAAATGCATCAAAGACACAAACCATGACACTAACGCTAAGGAAACAAAAAATCATCAATCAAAATTCAGATTTTAGGATATTGGGAGTAACGTTAGATCCACATCTGACTTGGAACAGACATGTAGCTATTCATAGTGTTAAATTATCTAAAGCTATATTTGTTATCAGGAATCTTAAAAGAGTTGCTTCAATGGAAACTGTAATTACAGCCTATTATGGCATTTTTCATTCAATTTTATCATGCAACCGTTCACTTTCTTATCAGTATAATATGTTAATTTAGAGGATTTCAAGTGCTAGTAGTAGAAAAAAATAGTATATATACCACGGTAGAGAAGTCTTATTATTGCCTTCGCACCTTACACCCCTCGGCGCAAGCGCCTCGAGATGTAATCTTGGTGCTCAGGCAATAATACTGGACTTCTCTACCTTGATATATAATGTACTATTATAGATAACTTAACCTTCATTTTGAACAAAAAGCCTTCCGGTGCAGTCCCACTTAGAAATTTCCCGAAAATTCATTAATTTCTTATATTTTGTTCGTTTTTGCAACATACTTGCAATTTTCCGAGTAAATGCATTTCCTATACCTACGAGCACTTTCAGTGAGACATAATTACGATTTAATTTTGCGATCTATCGCGGATGAAATGTGCAGATTTTATCAAAATATATTACCTACACTACGAACGTTTATTAGTTTGTGATACGATTATAGTTATTTACGTTATAAGTCCGGTAGGTTACTTGTAACAGTACGAGTTAGACATTATGGACGAGGCGACGTCAGGAGCCGAGTCAAGAATGTCTTAAACGAGTATAATCATCACTTGATGCGACACTGTGTCATATATAAGCATTTGTTATGTTAACAAATTATATATTTATATTTAGCGCATAAAACTGAATATGGATCCTTAGTTTGGAAACCCCATGCTGTAAAGTATATATATATATACATGCGTATGCGTCATTTTCCTTTATCTATTTACTATGGTCGTGTTGTGAAAGGTAGTATAACACTACTAATATTAATTTTAAAGTGAAATTTGGCATTACTAGACTTTGTAAATGCCATATTTATGAGAAAAATGCATTATAGCCGGTTTTTAACACTGTGAGTAAATTTCCTATTTGAATATTTTTTGAAATATAGAGTTCTAATTGTATGAATCTTAAACTTGAAATTTGGCATTCGTAAAGTCTTTGCGTCATTATAGTTACTTACCTTTGATTATTAATGAAGCTATCACTTTCCTCAAAAGTATTGATAATCGTGATGTGTAGTAACCTTGAACAAGGAATTTCTTTTTTCGGTATTGTGATTATCCAAGTAACTTCTGCATGTTTCGAGTACATGACTAACGTTAACCTTAAAGCGGACATTATCTGTCAAAAACGTCATTCTGCTATACTAAATAACACAAAATAACGTTTTTTGGTAGTTTTGCACGTTAAGTTTGACGTTTCTGATACATCACAGGGGTGTATGTTTGTAAACCCGCACAAAACTGTTGTTATATACTGAACGTCGTTTGCACCGCCAAGTTTAAGCGGAGCTTAAAATCCATGACATTGATGCACGCTGCATAATATTGATACCAGATGAATTAATGTAAAATGTTGTCTTCTATGGCGTTGAGGTACATTAAAAGCGTAAAAGTTTATAAAGAAATGAAACGCTAGCTTCCCTAAGGTATCTAAAATTAGCGTTGTGGTACCGTTTTTAGATAACGACCTCAATACTTTAAGTTATTTTTTGTTATTTGTATTTTTTAATTATTTGTTTTCTAAATTAATTGTCATGTTATTTAGGTAATATTGTTCTATATGTTTCATGTATTTTATGTTTATGTTTTATACATTTTATACAATTTTCGGACGAGTGTAAGCATTTCTTCAATGTATTAACACAATAAATTACTATTACTATTTCCGCAAGAGCTGCTCTACCACTCCAGCAGTTTCCAAAATTATATCTATTATATATTTATTTATAACTAGCTGCTCGACCCGGCTTCGCACGGGTGTTTATAATTTTCGTATTCGTAGTTACATGTTGGGAAAAAATAATACCTGAAAATTTGCATTTAAACCCCTTTCCCGAATTATATTTGCACCAAAAAGTGATGTCACTTGGAATACTCATCAGTTATAATGTTGAATATTCTGCAAGGAATGCTTCGATATAGGGTTTTGTCCTGAAAGAAGTAATGAATTAAGTGGTCAGGTGGCGTTGTAAGTTGCGATAATTTGACCTTTCTACTGGCACAATATAATCCTGCTGGTTCTAGTCGAAATCTCAAAAGCGGAAGGAATTCTGTGGAGTATTGGACTCGATTATCAACTTTTTGAAGACACTCGGGTTTACATTAGAACCTAGAACTGCCGTTTTCTTGTTCCCAAAAAATACTTTCTACTTGCCCCTTTTTTGAGCACCGTTGGAAGATTCTTAATACAACGTTTTGTTTCGGAGAAATTATCACAAACTATACTTTTTTATATGGCCCGTGGAAAAACAAACAACTATGTACGTCATACAAATAAAAACAAAAGTTGGAAATTGTTGGTTTCAACAGGATGGTGCATCTAGGCACAACATCTTAGTCATCCAAGTATACGAATCTTAACGTTTTTTCTATTTTCCAGGAATTTATCCGATAGGTATGCTTGCAAGTTGTGCGCGGGTGCAGTCTTGTAGAGTTCAAAAAGTGTCATTGTCTTTCTTGTTGTATCTGCTCAAATAACACCAGCAAAAAATCAACATAAGATCGGCAAGTTTCAGTTTTTCTGTTATATCTTCGGAAGTAATCGGAATCATTACCCAAAGTTTCGTATCAATCGGACGAACGGTTTAGGGAAGCATAAGGGACACTGATACGTACAGACAGATGAAAATTATTTTATTATATAGAAACCTTCCCGGACATACCTCCAACTATTCCCCAAAGTTTCATCGCAATCGGATGAACGGTTTAGGCAGGCATAAGAGACATACAAACATACAAACATTCATTTTAATTTATGTAGATTATATCATATATTTAGTGCCCTTCGTTGTATTGATTTAATTTTTGACTTGACATTTGATAAGTATAACTTCATCCGCAAATAAAAGAGCATTACAATTTAAGACACTAGTACAGTAAGAACAGTGACGGTATCAGATTCCACTCTTGGGATACTCCACAACTGCGAAAAATTGGTTGCGAGATGAAATTGTTGTACACAAGATCACAGATTAAGATGTTAAGAGTCATGATGAGGTATGGAATCAAAACCTAAGGTATATCAGTGTATATTAAATTTACTTGGTCACGTGTATCAAGAAAGTTAGATACGTACTAACTAAAGCACCAATATTCGATGTAGCGATTCATCATAAAACCGTCTTGATATACGTCCACAATACACATCTACAAGAAGATAGAAGATATTATCCTTTCGTTGGTGATACAATTTGGATAAGCAATTAGTATTCTAGGCAACGCTAGACTCTACTCTGTATATCATTTATCAGCAGTCCGACATTGAGGTGTTTATGTAGGCCATATCTATATTTACACTACACGTGGCCAAAATGAAGAGTAACTAATCAGTTCATTTCCATTACATTCATCACATTAATTAAATAAATACTGTCTTCACAGTCTGTCTCGGATAGAAAATGTCGTACATTATTTAGATATCAAATAACTAATTTGTAATTCACATTTCAGTAATTTCAATAATTGTTACAGGTGTATCTGTGGCATCCAGTGTATTTACAATTACTGCGATGGCGGTCGATCGATACCTGGCCATAACTCAGCCCTTTGGGTTTTGTCGATGGTTTAATAAGAAAACTACGATAATTGTGATAATAGTGATGTGGATCACGTCAATGGTGGTTTTTGCGCCGCTCCTATTCGTTGGCGTTGCGAACGAGGATGTACTAACAGACAATCTAACGCTTGTATTCTGCCAAGAAACTTGGGATAATTTTTATATATCTCAGGATATATTTGGAATTGTGTGTTACATTGTAATGTTCGCCGTACCTGGTAAGTTACTGTTTACAATTCTGGACGCATATTTACGTAAACTAGCCTGCTGCTGCCTTCGGTATAGTTTGGGTATTGTCAAGTTTTTGATTTCTTTATAAGCATTGGAAGTCCCTGCTGTATTTACTGTTTCTTTTTTGCAGTGTACGATGATCAAAAACCAATACGGTAACGTATTATGTTTGAATTACGTAACAATTTACTAACGACGTTTTATTATGTACTATTGGACTTGTACTTATCGCTACGATCAACTACTTTAAAATTAAGACTGCTTAGTTTCACCTTCCAATAAGATTAATGGGCCCATTTTTAATATAATCTACCTAGATATCAAGGGAAAGAAAGGGAGACAATAGAAAATTTATTTTTCAGCATAGTATTCTACCAACATTATCTTGCAACTTTACATTCAAGACACTGATTAAGGCGGAAGTTGTTTGACAGTTACAAATTATTGCGTTTCGTTTTTATTGGCTAAGTAAATTAAATAGAAATGTCCCCTCTTGATACAATCATTAACTGCCTATTAACTAAAGCTTCTTATCATATATTTTTCTTGCAGGAGCGATAATGCTATTCGCCTATTCCTTAATGGGGAGGAAGCTGTGCTCAGTGCGACCACCATTTGACAACGAAGGCAGCTGTAGCACACAACAGGTATATATCTAAAATTAATCTCGATAATTGTTTCAAACGAATCATTGAATGCTCAAACGTAATGTTACTGGCGGATACAAAACACGTAGCTTTCACACAACCTGAGGTGCTTTAGTTGAATATGTAAATGCTTTGAATTCTTTCGAAGAAAGCCTTTTGATTCATTTTTTAATGCTTTTTTATGCCACCAATCTCAAACGACTTTTTTTTTATTTTCCCACATTAATCATAAACTGCACACTCAAGATTTTTCCGAGACGAATGACATCATGCAGCGTTGCTTTCTTAACCCGATCACTTCCTAAGATGTTATCTTACCTCGCTTTTACACGAGCATACAGTGGCTCACAGACTGGTATCTCGGATACACATTGCGTTTTATTTCCGTCTCTCGCTAGTCTCAGCCGCCCGGCGATTTATGACTTTGGGGGATTGATAGGCTATTGGTTCATATGGAACTGTTTAACATGAGGATACTTTTTCATTAGCACTGAAAATACTTTGCTAAACAATACCTCACTGCGCAAGAGCAGTTTAGAATGCCCAAGTATCTCGCATACAGTATCTCCGTGTAAAAAGCACTTCGTCTTAGCGCACAAAATATGAGAGAAAATTGGATTTCCATCAAAGGATCTACGCAAGCAAACTGTAATGCGTCGCAGAACCCGTGTAACTGAATCTTTCTCAATTTACCACTGTTTTTCATGTGCGGAACTATTTCGAGAAAAACCCTCATTATTGTGGGCAATTTGCAATCACTAGGTTTCTGCGAGGGCTACTCCCCTGATCACTCACATTTGTGGCCACCTACGATTTTGATACCGCAGCAAGTTTATCTTATCTAGACAAAGGCAAATTTTCGACCACCAAAACTATTGCAACCATATCTCGATTTTCATTAGAACCCTCGGCAAAATGAGATTTGCTGTAAACACTGCTTTTCAGATTTCAAATACAACCTACTGCTTAATTCAAATTTACGCTAATAGAGTGTTTGTATGTATTCCACGCACTTACAATATTAAATTTCCGTAGTTAAGTTTAAAATAGAAACTCCATTGTTGTCTTAATGAGCGTGTAGAGCTGCTCACGGTTTCTCTAACGTGATTTAAACGTTATATTCATATAAGCCGAAGTAACTAAAATTGAAGGCAAAACCGTTTCATCTTTTCTATCAGAACGTCATTTTTTGAGCAGATTTAACGATCATAAGAATTTGTGCGAAAGTTCACAAATGAGCAAGATATTGGAAACGATGTTCCAATAATCTTTTAATCAAGTTCTATTACGAACTGCCGATATAACCGCATTAACTAAAATACCGATTTTTTTCGCATCCTCGAATAAACTTATCACCGACTTTAGATTCAGTGGAAATTGAGTATTGGAAAAACACGATTTTATTATTACTTATAAAAAGATGAGATGAATAATTCCCATCTTGATTTACTTTTATTGTTTTCAGAGTTACAAACTGGTACGCGAACGAAAAAGGGTAGCATGGATCCTTCTACTACTGGCATTAGTATTCGCTTTTTGCTGGCTGCCTTATAACACCATAAACCTACTGATTGACACAAGAAACGTAAAATCACTTGACGTAATAGACAAAATGTCGACGATGAAGCCCTACATGCTGCTTTTAGGACATGCCAACTCAGCCCTTAATCCTGTCATATACTGCGTTATGTCTCGGAATTTTCGTAGATCCGTAAAGGAACTTATCTTCTTTACCAGAGTGAGCTTTGTGTCGCGTAGAAGTAATCGTATGCAGGTAAGATGATTATTTTAATTTTTCGCTTTATAATTTTAAATTATACTTCCAATTTTTCTACAACGCTGTACGGCGAGCTTTTAACAAGATGTCTCCGAAGTTAAATTATAGCGTCTTGGGTAGTTTAAATTGTAAATGGGCAATTAAATTCAAATGACGTTATGAGTTTAGCTCGTTTTTGTCCATTGCTCCAAACTAAATTAGAAACCAATTTTGTATCTAAATTCAACTTCGTTATGATAGTGAGTACTATACGAGGAACTAATAAGATTAAGTGCATTTATGGCCGAAGTTGATGATTCAACATTTAATTTGTCCTAAGTGTTGCTTCGACGATTTCCAGAACTTGCTATTGGTACAGTAATGAATACTTTACAAATATACTTTCGATGTAGCAATTAAATTATCGCGATACATTAAAAGCATTCTCAGTATACGCTATTTCAGAAAATAACGTTGTTAATTCATTATAAAGTATCATTTTGACAGTTGTATTGTTTACAATTTCCTCTTTTTAGCGCATTTTTGCAAAAATTTTTTTTTGTAAAAAGTAGCTTTTAATCTCACTTTGGCTGGCTGGCTGGCTGGCTGGCTGGTCGGCTGGCTGGCTGGCTGGCAGTAAATGCGCGCCCGTAGAAAAACGCTTGTAAAAAGACAAGGAGTGTACATGTAACTATCGGGGCCGTGTAATTAAGAACGTTAGGGATGGGGCTACAAGATTTGGAGTCGACGACATCTGGACGCCATCCCCGAGCGTATTATACTAACCTGGAGATTTTTCAGTTTTTATCTATCTTCTTCTACAGTTTTTCTCCGATTGTTTTCAAATTGGTGTCGTCGGGAAGATCTTGTCAACGCGCAACTCCTGCGTGGCGGAATTTTGTTTTTTTTCCTAGGGGCGAAATAAACCACCTTTTGCGCGGCGCGCTTCGAGGGGTAGTCGACTTTGGGCGCCCAAAAGTTTCTTACAGCGCGAATCGCGGTCTCTCTTTCTCGTGTCACTAATAGAAGGTCGAGCTATGTGAAGTACCCAAAAGTTGAATACGATTTTATGCCGGGATTTTAGCGAAATCTACCAAAATGTGAATTACGAATGAACGGGACGTCGGAACTGTGTATCGACAAAGGGAATGTGGTAACCCCGACGAGATCTTACTGATGGTGGAGTCGAAACTTCAAATCCGAATTGTTGCGGGTGATCAGAAGTGGGTGTCGACAAAGGGAATATGGTAACCCCCAAAGGATTTTACTGATGGTGGAGTCAAAACTTCAAACGCGAATTGCAAGTGCACGGTAAGTGAGAAAATGGTACCGACAAAGTGAACGTGGTAGCTTTCGGCAAGATCTTATTGATGGTGGCGTCAATATTGGCTAATAAAACACTGATCTGCCACACAAAAATGCGCTGAAGTCCCTTCGATCTCACACGAGGACTTTGATAATTTTTTTTAAATAATTTTGCAGTCAAATTACCTTATTTATCTGAATTGTTTAAATTTTTTATAAAATTTTTATAGAAATTATTTATATCGTTATCTGCAAAACAAATCTTTCAACGAGCACTACTAAATATGTAAAAAGCGATTCAACGATATACAAATATCTGTTCACTTATTATGAAATGTTACTCTGTACAATTTAATCCTCAAATATTAATTTTGAGTCTGTCCTTCTTTGTAGATGGTTATAACCTAATGGAATTATTTCCGTAACTTTGTGTATCCGTTAATGATGATGTAATTTATTTCAATTATGCAGATCGTTACGTGAATGTCCATGAATAAATATCATACTCAATTTCTGGAGCTTCCGTAAGCTTAGAGAGCGATCAACGTCTTCAAGCCTCTTAAAATTAGTAAATCAATGCAATGCAATAATTGGCAGGTTAGCGAAAAAATCAGATTTTGTGCAACTATTCTAAATAAGCAACATTTATATTATATTTGTTGCCACTCTGCCACAAAATTCTTTAGATGGATTTGCAAGCCGCTTTTGCAGCTCATTTTTAACGGTCTTATTTGATCGAAAATGTTTCCGCGTGGAGACGCCACGTCCCTGACGTTTTGTTCGAATGGCAGGCCTTACTATGTGAGCATATGTTGATATTCGAGATAAATATACTCCTGCGAGTCTCAGAATACTGTAGGGATGACTTCACCCGAAGATAGACAAGTCTTGAATTTTTTTTCAATGGGTGTGCTTGGTATGCTAGTAGATAAATCTGCCACTGGCAAGCCATGCTCTTTTACAAGTTTTGGATATGAACGCTTTTGAGGATGACTTTGCTGAAGGCCGTATTTAATGTACTTTTGGTAAACCCAAGGTACAGAATTATATCATACTAAAGCTACAGCGCATCTCAATGTGGGTATGAAATCGAGTAAATTTTCCTTTGAATTTTTCTTTTTTCACTACGAGTTGATTCTCTTGTTGTGCTTGTTTCCATTCTTCCTAGATGGCTATGACTGCTCCCAGTAGTGTTGCTGTTTCTACGAAATGCTTTTTATTTTAATCTCTTGACTCTAATGGCGTATGGCACCCATTTCAAATGTGGTGATTTTCCCCTGGCCGCCCTCTATTACTTTATTTACTATATTTTTAAAGTAATAACAGGGTGGCCACCACATTGAAATGGGTGTCACGCGCTTAATATTAGAGTTAAGAGATTAAAATAAAAAGAATTTTGTAAAAAACGTGGAAGTTTTTTATTTTTATTTTTTCTTGCAGAAAAGTTGACATTCATAAATAGCAAATTGTTTTCTAGGAATTGTAACTGTATAAAATTGTTCTCTTATTTTTATTTGTTATAAAGTTGCTTTGTTAGCCCAAATGTGACAGTGACAGTTCGAGTTAATTTATAATTTGTATTGTATTTTAGACAAAAATTGTTTAGAATTAAATTAAGTAAAGTTGAGTGTATATGTGCGGTATCTAAGGTTACTCTATTGGCCGTTAAAGTTGCTAGCTGTTCTTTCCTGGCGCTGAATCTCTCTTCATATTTGTCAGTAGCCTTGCTTTGCAGACTTCATTTTGGTTGTCGCCCAGCTCGTTGATTTTCTTCATTTTTTGGCGGTCTGAAATATATTTTTTTCTTACCTCCTATTATTTATTGCTGTTATGTCTGTTGCTATAGGGGTCGTAAATCCAGATAACTTTTATTTTTTAATTTGCGATCCCCATTTCCACTTGTACTTTGGTCGCAGCTTGTGCTTCTTCACTAACTTCAATTTTTATTTGAGATGCATCTTTCCATTCGTAATTGGGTCGCAGCTTCTTAGCTCGTAGCCGTATCATCTTCTAAATCATTTCATTGAACTTTTTTCCCTTTCCTTTCTTTTTTCTACGGTGTTATAAGGGGCGTGAATCCCTACTCTTCTTATTCGCGACGTACCTTTCCATTCGTACTCTGACTCGCACCATTTGCTGCCGGCCTTCACGATCTTCAGTGGTTGTCTCCGTTGTTGGCTCGAAGGACCTCGTTACGAAAAATAGTGCTTTTCCCTACTGGTTGCACAAATACTTTTGAGTGAATTTGAACGTGCGAGTATCGGCTCCGTAAAACTTGATAATTTTGACGGGAAGTAGCTATCATTTTTTCTTCAATTGTACTGGTCAGTGTGTAGTTTGAGGTGCTCTACTGTTGCATGTAAAAACTGTTATGTGGAATGCCAAAAAACTGGATTTTTGTGTTCACATGTAGCGATACGTGTAAGTCAAGGTTGTTTTCGTACTTTTGCGTGTTATTATGCGATTAGGGACACGTTATGAATAAATAGAATATACTATCTATTGGTGTAGCTGTATCGATCTTTTAATTACAATACTGCAATCATGGATCGTGACGATTTAATACACGAACAACGTTTCCCTGTATAACGAACTGCAATGTTTCAAAAGATGTGATATCAATGACCCGAATGGCAAGGTACTAGCTGATGATAGGACACCACCCCTGGCTGGGAAGTTGCAGACTGGGCAAAATCATCCACCGCCGGTTAAGAAACAAAATATTTTGATCCTAGCTGATAGCCAAGGAAGAAATACTGCTGTAAAATTCCGGGATTTATTACCATCCAATAAATATTCTGTTTTATGTATCTTCAAACCTAATGCCTGTTTTGATGCAGTAATATTTAACTCGAGTGGGTTGTACGCGGGTTTTGATAAGAAAGACTACGTTATAATTTTTGCGGGTGCCAATAATGCTGCTAAACACAGACCACTGAACAATGATACTCTCGAAAAAACGTTTTCTTCCTTAGTTCACACTAATTGTATTTGTGTAAACGTGCCGTACTGTAATGACAATAAGAAATATAATAATTGTGCATACAACATTAATTACCAATTACTACGATGTTGTAATAATTTAGATCATGTCCTCTATATAGATGTTAATGATATGTTAGGTTTAAGTCGTAAATATCATCGAGGAATTCATTTAAGTGATAAAGGTAAATCTTTCTTAGTTCAGTACATTGCAAAGAACTTCATTCTCTGCAAAACCCTTAACTATCGGTTTGCTAAATCGAATTTAATTTATATTACTCCCGATAATAATGTCGACTATTTTTTTGCGTTGGATCGCCCCATAACACCAGCAAAGTAAATGTTAATCATACTAATATAAATCATTCACTAGTTAGTAATAAGGTAAAAAAATTGTTTAATGTTTTCCATATAAATGTACAAGGGTTAACCAACAAACTAGATGAATTATCAATTTTTGCAAATGAGAAGGAATATGATATTCTGTGCATCAGTGAACATTGGTTCTTACTTGATACTATATCAACCGCACCTCTTTACAATTATCAACTAATATCATATTTTTCCAGAAAAACACACGATCATGGTGGGGTTTGCATGTACTCTAAGATAGGTGTTCCATGTAAGAATATTGATCTATCAAACAACTGTGAGGAAATCCATGCTGAATTTTGTGGACTGGAGGTAACTGGTAAAAGTTTTCTGTTGATTACGCTATACCGATCAAGTGCAGGAAATTTTAATAGGTTTTTAACCTTATTTGATCAACTTTTAAATGATTTTTGTGTAAAGTACTCCAAAATTTGTGTTTTTGGGGATTTTAATGTACATTTTGATGGTAACTCAAATGCCTTGCAGGAATTAAATAGTATTATCAATAGCTTCGGTCTTATTACCACAATCCAAGATTACACTCGAATTACGAATCACAGCAAAAGCTGCATTGACAATATTCTTACCAACATTGATCCAAAAGATATAGAAACTGGGGTAATCGATCCATGCCTGTCTGATCATTTTGGACAATTCATTAAATGTAGTATAACTACTAATGCAGTAAATCAGGGGAGTAAAGCTGGAAGAATCACTTCAAGGGGAATAATTGACCTCAAAACATTTTTAACCAACACCTATGGATCGACCTTTTACGATTGCGATAACGTAAATTTCCTTACAAACTTTTTAATTAACTCATTGTCAAACACAATCCGCAAAAACTCTCCTATAGGGAAACTTATAAATAACTCACAACCAATTAAATGGTTTGACTCCAAACTGAAAAAGATGCGTAAAACTGTATCAATTCTAAAGGATGTTAGCAATTGCAATCCAAAAAATGATGCGTATCGTCAAATATTTATAAGCGCTCGTCAGGCGTATAGGAAAGCAATCGTTTCTACTAAACAAAAGGCTTACAGAGATTATATTAAGAATTCTACCAATAAACAGAAAGATATTTGGAAATTAATTAACTACGAGAGAGGCCTAAGCAGTTCCACGAAATCGGCTCCAGTTATAGCACTTGACACTCTTAATACGTTTTTTCTAAATTCTGCGGTTGAAATTATAAAGACCATACCAAATGTCAATTCACATACTTTTTTGCACTGCATTCCTCCAAATAGAACATCGTTTTTCCTCCAACCTATTGTAGAGCAAGATGTAATGGAAGCAATTAATAAAATGAAAAAGTCGAGTAGTTTAGATATATATGATTTTAACAGTATCATTGTTAAAGAAATTAGCTTGGAAATATTAAAACCTTTAACCCATATTTTCAATGCTTGTCTAAGGCAAGGTGTATTTCCGGACTGTTTAAAGCACGCAAGGGTAGTGCCTTTACATAAAAAGGGAAGCACAAGTGACCCGGGAAATTATCGCCCTATATCAATTGTACCAGTGGTAGGAAAAGTTTTTGAAATAATTTTGAAAGATAGGTTATCTAAGTTTTTAGAGGCACAAGGTGTCTTAAACTGCAACCAATATGGTTCTAGAGAGACTCGGTCGACCATACATGCCGTTTCAAAAGTTGTCGAATATGTGGTCGAAGGGCTCGAGAAAGGCGAGCATGTAGGCATCACGATGTGTGATTTAAGTAAAGCATTCGATTGCGTATCGCATAATATATTGATTGATAAACTCGAAAAATACGGAGTCAGAGGTGTGCCCTTAAAATTAATAGAATCTTATCTGAGCGATAGAAAACAATGTGTTAGCATTGGCGGTAGTGCATCAGCTATTGGAACAGTCACTCATGGTGTACCGCAAGGGTCGGTTTTGGGACCACTGCTGTTCGTGATATACATTAACGACTTTCCAAACTTCCTTAAACCAAACAACAGCGTTTTATATGCAGATGATACCACTTTGGTCTCAAATGCTATTGACTGTACAGTTCTAGATAAAAATATGGCGTCTCTAAGACTTAGGGCTGAAAGTTGGTTTATAGCTAATAAGCTAAAACTAAATAGTAGTAAAACAAATGAACTATATTTTTCGTGTCAGAATGCACCTAGCTTAACATCAAGTTTATTAGGAATCACACTTGACAATAATTTAAATTGGAAAGGCCATATTGACCGCTTAGTCGGAAAACTGTCGTCTGTTCTTTTTGTTATTAGACGACTTAGAGTATTAGTAGATAATCTCACGCTAATAATAACTTATAAATCACTGTTCCAATCTCATCTTTTATATGGTGTAAGTTTATGGGGAAATGCAACTACGACTACGACAATTAGGATTTTTAGATTGCAGAAGAAAGCAATACGCCTAATGAAATTTGCCAATCCATTCGATCATTGTAAGCCCCTATTTATAGAACTGCAGCTCTTGACATTGCCATCTATGTACATTCTGGAAGTATTAGTTAATATTCATAAAAAATCATGCTTGATGACAACGAATAGTCAATTTCACAATTACAATACCAGATCTAAAAATCAACTCCGTACCACAAGGTTCAGGCTAAACAAATCAATAAAAAACTCTCTTAATGTTAAACTATATAATCCTTTGCCGGACAAAATAAAAAGGTATAGTGTAAAAGAATTTAAAAGCGTACTTAGGAAATATTTCTTAAGTAAAGCATTCTATTCCGTCGAAGAGTACTTGTCAACCATCAGGGCGGACGTGTTCTGGTTTTAGCTTCCGTTTTTTTTTACCTATTTGTTTGTTTTTAAAAATTTGCTTGCTGTTCTTTACATAATTTATTTTTTATGTTTTAGTGTCTGCATTTATTATTATATTATTTATATATATTGTGTATATTTCGACGTGTCGAAACACTCTTGTGAAATCCGACGAATAAATATTATTATTATTATTATTATTATAAATATTTATTAATTTGTTTTCGGCAACATGTAAAAAAAAAGTTAAAGTAAATCGAACCACGGAAGGAAGTTTGTTTACAAACATTTATGGAGAGTAGATTGAATGTTGGGTTAATTGAAAATGCGTACATGCCTTTTGTTTTTAAAAAAATATTTTGCTGCATTGAACATCTACAATAAAGGCATAAAGGCTAGCTATTCTCCTTAGATATACGCAATTTTCGAGGGTTAAGTTTAACTGTCCATTATTGAAACAAAGCGAATGAGCTTTCCCGAGTAAATATAAAAGATGCCCAACGAATTGATTGATGTTATTTAGGCTGCCAATTAATTTAAAACATTAATCAGCAGTCACGCTATTGAATCATAAATCTGTATTCGAGTATAAAGAATATTCCCCAAATTCCGCTTAATACTTTTTCTTAAAGAAGGAGTATGTACAATATCTACAAACTCCTTGGCAATTAAACCAATTTCCTCTATTATTCTACCGCATTAACGAAATTTGACGTAGGGTATGTTTGGGGTCCTGGATTAGGTTGCATCATTCCTCCAAATTTGGTGGTTAACTGTATCTTTATTGTCCCGTTTATGTGCACTGAAATGATCTCCATTTCGCTCGATATCACTCCCCTCACGTTTTATTGCTGCAGGTGGGCAATTCGTTACGAAATTACTACTACGGTTCCTTTAACATGAGAAAAAGTTGTGTCACTATGTTCATCGTCCTTAAGTTTGCGAAGCCAATTCACCTTGAGTGTCGCTTTATTTTTGGCACGCACGAAGCAGTCGCAACATTAATTGGAAAAGATCCGTACTTTCTCAGAGCTTTGAAAGGAGATTTTTCGAACTTACTACCTATAACAGTATAAAGAAAGTTAGTAATTGAAGTGTGCGTTGTATAACTTTGTTTTAGAAGGAATAAGGGCGCAAAATTGCTCTCTACTCTTAAGCCGAACTTCTCAAAGTGTTTAATATGGCCATAGGTAATCGGCAGTGACAAACGGCATCAGAATACGTACTAGCAATTTCACCTTTTGTGAAGCGTGAATTGAATAAGGAAGGTCGTTTTGGGTAATACGTATACGTATTATTAAGGGGTAATACGTGCCTAATTTGGGAAGGTCGTCCTTGTGTTATTTCATTCAAAGCAATTACAAGCGAACTATTCTCACTGGACTTGCCCACCCTTAAAGTTTAATCATAGAAGTATTTTTTTGGGTATAGGGGAACCTTCTCATTCGTGCAGATTTCAATATTCACATATTCCCGTGTCTGTAACTAACCTGGTTCTCCTTTTTTATTGGTGTTGTTAAACAGAAGAGTTTTTTTTTTCGTGAAAATAGCACACATCCTCTAAAAATTCCCGACATACCCGCTTGACCATAGGAGTGCGGAATTTCGCAACTAAAGATATTTCAATACTAAAATATTTAAATCCGAGTGTTAATGATTTTAATAAAAATTATAACGGAAGTATAAAATCGTATAAGAAGCTGGTCATAACTGCGATAACGCGTGTACGGCCCCCGTCCCTCGATGTCTTTTTGCATATATATATATTGTTGTGAGACCTAACCTTCACTTCTGGGAATCCCACGAATTACCTCTAGCTAGCTCAGTTGTAATTAAAATGAAAACAAAATTTTTTATCCGCATCTCAAGGTCCAGCTGGATTCTGCCACCCTACAGCATTCCAACAATGACATAAATAGGTGGCTTAACCAAATCCTTAAATTCCAATATGAAACTTTACCCCCAGATTTAAAAAAACTTGAAACAAAGTAAGAGACGCCGACAATTACCTCTCCTTGACTCTAATAAACAAAACCTGGATTGCAATGACTGGTTTAATTTCAAACAAAAAATTGCGTAAATTTCTGTTTTACAAAATGTTACAATTTTAAACAGATAAATGACACACACAAAAAAAACAAATTACTCAAACATTACAAAAAAAAAACATGACAAAACAAAACACTAACTACTACTTACTTTTAAAATTAGTCCGAATAACGTATTCCGATAAAAAGAGGTATCCGTAAACAAACACGTAAACCAACCACTCAAACACCGACGTCTTCTCTCTTCGGGTACCCACAAATTCAAAACTTCCGTGTTTCCGCAAAATAAAAAAAAAACAGGACGACGACAAACTTCTTAAACTTCTCAAATAAATCTTCTTAAAACGGCAGACACAAAATTCTAATTAAAACTGGATCCAACTACGCAGGAAAACTTCCACAAAATTCAAAAATAACGTAACCGAAGAAGCGCCGGTTGGCTTTGTAACGACCAAAAAGCCCCGCTCTCTTCCAAAATTTTCTATTTAAACCAAAAGCCCTTCTCCTTTCCTCAACATCCCGTCCGCCAATCACGCGAAGCGTCGATTTTTCAACTTCTTGCTAAACGGCACGTACGCCCGGCAATTCTGCGAAGAACCTTATCTCTACTTCGCGCTATACCTCGTTAACGGCAAATAAAATTTAAAAAGAAATTTACATCGAAAAAATTCTAGGAATAAACTAACAACAGAACACTTCTAAGAAATTGAACCAAAACTATAACCTGAAATTTACGCAATTTTTTTGTCTCAAATTATTAATAACCCCCCCGGTTAATTAATTGAACTAAACAAAATTGTCACATCCAGACGCTCTATAATTTCTTTCAAGTTACAACTAAAACAAAATAACACAACAATATTCACTTCAAAGCTCTTGTTACTATACATTGCTAAATGAATAAACACTGGCATGTTAACACTGAAACTTTCGATCGAATGTAGGGAATCTACTACCTTAAAATCTACTATTCAGAGTGGATATGATAATAATAATAATAATAATAATAATAAACCCAAGCAACCTCTCAAATACAACCTCAAGAACAAAGAAACACCATAAATACAACTAACGCAACATGCACTACAAAGACAGGTCCACCCAATAAAATTACACGCCCTAGCACAGTTAAAAAACACATAACTCCTTCTTCACAGAAACACACCACATTTTCACAACCCACTCGTATTCAACCGCAACGGAAAAACCTTAACAGAACTACAGGCTCACAACATACTAAAATATCTCCACCAAAAACCCAAGCAACTTCACAAATACAACCTCAAGAACAAAGAAACATCATAAACACAAGTAACGCAACATGCACTACAAAGACATGTCCACCCAATAAAGTTACACGCCCTAGCACAGTTAAAAAACACAATACTCCTTCTTCTCAGAAACAACCCACTCGTATACAACCGAAGCGCAAAAACCTTAACAGCACCACAGGCTTACAAAATACTGCAATATCTCCACCAAAAACCCAAGCAACCTCACAAATACGACCTCAGGAACAAAGAAACACCATAAATACAATTAAAAAACAAAACTCCTTCTTCACAGAAACACACCACGTTATCACAACCCACTCGTATTCAACCCAAACGCAAAGCCAAAAAAACACTTACACAATAAACTCCATTTAATAAAATTACAGGAATTATTATAATGATTTTTTTTGTTTTGTTTTGTTTTCCTCTTTCCTGATAGCGTTGGCTATTGTGCCCATCAATAGGTATGTTGGTAAGTACGAATTACATTATCCCTAGATGTCCAATGTACGTGTGTGATTTTTATTTTTATTTTTTTTTTATTTTTTTATTTTTTTTTTTTAAGGACCCTACATAACTTCACCAGACACAGACACAGACACTAATCGTTACTTGATTTTAATCCGTGCGATTAGTTAACCAGGCTATAGACCTGAATTCTCACAAGAAAATAATAATAATAATAATAA